ATTATATAATAAAAAGGCTATCCCTGATATCTAATATATACAATTTTTTTTTCAAACATCACATCCTTTAAATGTTAAATTATTCAAGAAAATAAAAAAAAAAAAAAAAACAAATAATCTTATTTTGGATAGATGAATATCACTTTCTAACTTCAATCCCTGTAACCAATCCCTCACCTAACCTTTCAATTTCTAAAACTATTGCTTTGGTATTCAATATTATATTTTGATCTCGTAAATTATTGCTATTATTCGTCTACAAACGCAGAAAAGAAATAAACAGTTATTAGATGAACATCCTTCAAAAAGCAATTTACAGTACCTTACAATAAAAGTAATACTTACATCATATTCACTGCCTTTTCGGTCTTCAATTTTCGACACCAAAACGCTGTTTATTTCAGAGCTAGCTTTCCATGGTCTGGGAGTAAAGTTTGTCGGTATCCAGACAACTCCAATAATTGTTCCACCGTGCTTATCATGAAAGAATAAAGCTACATCAGAATATAATTTCTATAAAAAAAAAAGAAATAAGCATTATCATCAGCAAAAGTGATATATCATAAAAATTCAAGTAAAATCAGAAAATAAATAATAGATATTACCCTCAATTCATCCAAATAATATTCTACAGGATCAAATCCGATCATTGCAACCATTTTCTCGTTTTTTAAATTTTCATGATCTTGCATTTTTACATCTTTCATTACATTATCATTACATTCATCAATATTGTAGATCTTTAAAGGAGATATGCTCTTCTTATCACGCGATAAGTATTGTGTATCAACAAAAATATTTTGATAGTATCTTGTGCATTGACTTGGATCTAAATGTATAATCACGTCATAATCTGAAAGTGGCGTTGCAAAAAGCCTCTATCACATAAAATTTCATAAAGGCAAATTAAAATAAGCCAGTGAACGCAATAATATAAATTTTATCATGAGAAATCAATAATATAAATTTTATCATGAGAAATCAATAATATAAATTTTATCATGAGAAATCAATAATATAAATTTTATCAT